TCAGCCTAAAATCCCCAGATTCTCTCAATCATTTCTCATAAGTTCATGATCAGCATGCTCTGTTTTCTGACTGCCTGTGGTTTGCCTTGTCTCTGTTCTGCCATTCTCCACCTGAACACAGTGCTCCACCTGGAGACTAATTTGCAGCTAGGATGATTGGCAGCTCTGCTGGGATACAGCTTTTCTTATCATGTCTCCTAAGAGTGCATCAGTCTTAAAAGATAATATTAACAATGTGCCATTTTGGGGGATACTCTCTCAAGGCACTGTGCCAAAGTGCCTTGTATATGTGCTGTCATTTCATGTTCACAGCAAGGCTCAGGTGACATCATTATTCTATTCCCTTGATTCCAGGACTCTGTAAATGCCAAGATAACATCATAAATTAAAATTTAGGGGAAACAATAAGGTAGGGAAAACCCCATCACATTAAATGTAGATGTAAAATGAATAGTCACGTTATTTTCAGGAAAGTTAAAATGTGTGTGTGTTGGGGAAAGATGGATAGAGAGCACATCTTACAATCAAAGAAATATCGTATCTCCATTTTACAGATGAGGAAACTGAGACTAAGGAAATTTGACTAATTTGCTACAGTGTCTAGAAGGTGAGCTGCCTTCAGATCCAGCCTGACTGTAGCGTGTGCTTCTATCATTCCCCATGCCTTCTTGAGTATCCCTATCATGAGTTGGAGATGTCACTCAGTGGAAGAACACTGGCCTAGCATGTGCAAGATCCTGGGTTTAATCCCCAGCACCAGAAATCAGTCAATTGATCAATTACAGTCAAGTATCTCTATCATGAAGTTGTACAAAATTCCCAGGGCTTTCTCAAGAAAACAGTGCTAGTGTAGGCAAACACCAATCTGTATTTGTGTGTATGTGTGTGTGTGTGTGTGTGTGTGTATTTAAATTTGAATGGTAATGTGTATATTCGGTTTAGTTTTTTCTTTCTTGGCAGTGAAAAACTTGGTATATGTTTCTTTTTGCCTATTTTAAAAGGTGATTACCAGGTCAAAAATTACAAATATTTTTGTGGCTTTACAAACATACTATTACATTATACCTGAGAATGGGTTATCCATTAACAGTGCCACAAGCAATGTGTTGAGTTTAGCACAACAGTTACTAGTTTTTAACACAATCCATTTCTGGTCTTATTTGGACTGGGGACTTGGTTCTGTTGTGGAAACTCATCCTGAGATCCCTCGGGCTGTGGGTTATCTGCTTGGGACTCCTTCACTAGTTAATGTGTGTCTCCTGGTTGCAGTGGCCTCTGGACTTGGCTTTGAATCATACTCCTCGAGGCTACTTTGCCCTAAACTTTGCTCTGCTTCCCACTCACCTTTTGACTTTTCAGCTTGCTCACCTCTGTCATTTTCCTCTATTGTAAAACCCCAGGATATTTGATGTACTTTATAGGAAATCTCTTGAGTCCAGAGGATGATTCACGGCAGTAAAAGAGAATTGAAAGCAAATCTTTTTGTAAATCAGTGGTGGTTGAAGAAAGGCCATCTCGCAAATTTCCTAGGAATCATTTCAATGATCAATTAGTCAGAAATTCATTCTAATTGTTCTACTTTTTCCCTGCATGAAGCAAGGAAAGGGATAATAGAAGTGTTAAGAATGAATAATGGAAGACTTTGAGGAAAAGAACCCACTTAGATTTCAAATAACATAAAGGATAAAACTGAAGAAGGAAAATAATTTCCACTTAGATGCTGTGTTATTCTCTAAGGTCCATAAAGATTTACAGCTAAGAAATAATAATTTAACTCATTTTTTTATTTTTAAGATGGGAATAAAGAAAAAAAGTAGATATACATCTTACATTCTGCTAAGATCTCTTTATTTATATGTATGAATTTCATGGGTGGAATTTAAATAGGTAAGAATTTCATAGCTCTGTTTAAACAGGTAAGAAATATTGAGCAATAGATGATTCCTTAGATTCTGATTTATGGCCCAACATGACTCAGATCTCTGGTGAGAGGAAACCACTGTCCCCGTCACTGAAGATAAAAATGTAGCCTACTTTTTGTCTGACTATGGCATGCTACTTAGAAAGAAAATCATAAACCTTATTGAGAAAACTCAAGTTTAAGCCAGGTATGGTGGTTCACACCTGTAATCCCAGTGACTCTGGTGGCTGAAGCAGGAGGATCACAAGTTCAAGCCCACCATGGGCCACTTAGCAAGACCCTGTCTCCAAATAAAAAAATAAAAAGGCCTGGGAATATAACTCAGTGGTAAAGCGGCCCTGGGATCAATCCCCAGTACTGCAAAAAAGAGAAACAAACAAACAGAACCCTCAAGTTTAAATCCAATGTAAACACAAGTTTAACTTTAGTGTTGTATACATGCTCAAAAAAGTGTGTTACTATTCAAAAGGATGAAGTGACCTTGATGAGAAGGAACTCCTGGATCATGAAGGACAGTGGTCATGTCATACAGATGTTTTAGCAGTCCATGGGACTCTACTCAGATTGATGAGTAATTCAGTATTTGCCAAAAACTCAATCTATTTTTATTAGCTTCATGATACTTGCTTCTAAAGACACATGTTTGGAAATTTTAGAAGCCGGTAGAGCTGTGGATTCCACTCCTGCTGCTGTATCTGTTCCCCGGGATCCTGTGTACACGCTGGTTTTGTTCTCACTGAGTATAAAGCTCCTGTCACATTTTTCTCCTCAGACCTTCTCTCCTCTTGTCATAAAGGTATCATTTTGGAGCTAGTTAAATCAGTGTCTCTCAAACTGAATTGCCTGGATATTTTGTACAGGAATCGCCTGGGTATTTTGTGCAAATGCTGACCAGTTTCAGGAGAGCTGCCAAGATTATGCACTTCCTCCAACCCCCTGCCTTGCTACTAGTCCCTGGACTAGGGGATCTCTAGCTCTCACTGTGGTGCTCCCAGGGAGACAGATGGTGGAAAAGGTGACCAATAAAACAAACATCCAGTAGAGGAGTCGTGTATGTTCACTGATCACTGTGATTCCTTTGACCAGTGCCCAGTTAAGTTCAGACAGGCAGCAGTGCCCATTGATTAAAAACTTAGACTCTGTGGCTCTCTTTTTGCCACCCAGCAGCTGTATCACATGGGCTGATAACTAATCTCTATAAACCTCAGTTTCTGAATTCAAGACATACAAATAATATGAAAACCTATTTATAGGGTTATCATGATGGTTAAATAATATAATGCACGTAAAATATTTAGTAAGTGCTTGTGAAATACTAGCTTCAGTAGTAATAATTCAGGAAGCATTTATCGAACACCTACTTCATGCTGGGCATAGTAAGGTAGGTGTATAAAGATTAAAAGACAACCTTTTAGTTTCAGTGGAGATTTAATTGGATGATTTGAAAGTCCCTAGTGTTGAGATTAAATCTAAAATTTTTTGCTTCAAAATTGGTGCCTTTTCTGCATAATTCTATATGCTTTTTGGATATTTCTTATGTTGGATAGACATATTAAAATAAAGCTGGGGGTGCTGGGGTTGTGGCTCTGTGGTTAAGCACTCGCCCACAGGCCCTGGGTTCGATCCTCAGCACCACATAAAAATAAATTAATTAATTAACGATATTATATCCAACTACATCTAAAATATAAATATTAAAAAAAAATAAAGCTGGGTTCAGATCAGCAGAAATTAAATAAAATTTATGCACTAAGATAGTGAACTCAGCATATTCTAACTTTTTTTTTTTTTGTACTGGAGATCAAACTATTAAGCCATGTCCCCAACCCTATTTTGCATTTTTATTTAAAGGCAGGGTCTCACTGAGTTGCTTAGTGCCTCACTTTTGCTGAGGCTGGCTTTGAACTCCTGATCCTCCTGCCTCAGCCTTCCTAGCCACTACAATTACAGGCATGTGCCATCACATCTGGCCTAACTTTTAAAACCAAACATTTCTTATGATTGGTTCTTTGAATGAATTATCTCTGAGAGTGGAAATTGAAGGGCAGGTTTTATTTTTATTTCTTTATTAGTTGAACTGTTTTGTTTGAGCAACTGGAACTAAGGATATGGAAGGACAGGCATGATCAATTTCTATTTTGGTGGATCAAATTTTGAGCACACACTTGCCTTCCATATTTGGCATTGGCCTTTTAAAGTGATTTCAAAAGGACTCTGTCTTTGAATGAACTGACTTGTTTTTCCAATAGAGACCAAAAAATGAGCACCCTGCCTCTTCTCTATCAATCACCCAGCACAAACATGTGTGCCTTTCAAGAGCTGGGTGTTCCTGCTTTTTATCCATCTTTTGTCCCTTTGTTTGGAATCCCATCTTGCAAAGGAAATGATCACTGACCCAGAATTTATTTTTTCTTTATCTAAATATTTTTCCAAGTTATTGAGAGCCGTGTGCTTTTTCTGAACTTACAATGGTTCTCTTTGTGATGCATACTTTTGTAATTTTTTTAAAAAGATATTAGTTTGGAGAAAACTCTGTGAGTGTGACTTTTGTGTTTGTGAGAACATAATTATCTCACTGAGCAGAATCTTCAAATACTGGAAATGGTGGAACTAAAGCAATATTCACTGCAGGCATTCACAGTTGCTTGCATTAGGTGTTTCAACAATGGCTTTTCTCCTTACCTTTTGGGTTATAAGTATTAGTTTCTCTGTTTTTGTTACAAGAAATGTCAGAATGATTTTTACTGCCTTTTTTCTTTTGTAGAATCAAGGAAAATTACCTGCTTTTCCTTTAAATATCAGTGTGTGTTTGTTGATGGTTACAACCCTGCTTATTTTTAAAAACAAAGATTTGTTGGAATATATTACAGACCATAAAATTAATACAATTAAAGTGTACAAGGCAGTGGGTTTTAGAATATTGACAAAGTGGTCTTTGCAGATTTTTGCTATCGCATGTTTTTTATTTCATCTATTATATATGCCCAAACCCCTCCATATTTCCATTTCCTCAATGATTTTTTTTACTTTATAGATTTGGGAAAATATATGTATCATAACAATGAATTTCATAAAATCATTGTGTAGCTCAATGGTAGAGTACTTGCTTGGAATGCATGGGGCCCTGGGTTCAATCCCCAGCACAAAAACAAAAACAAAAAAATCCCCCTAATAATCATAAATCACTTACTAATCATTTCCTGATTACTTTGTGGCTTTTTTATTTAAATTAGTACTATTTTAATGATGAAACAATAAACTATCAATTCAGCCCATGTGACATTAAGCCTGACATGTTCTATATTACTCTTGCAATCCTTTCTTACCCCTAAACCTCACATCCACACAATCCATTTTGGTTTGTTTACCTTAAATATTATGCTGTCTTTCAAATATGACAGTGAAGCCTGATGGTTCATTTTACTCAACTGAAATTCACCCGGAGATCATTGTGTCCTGTGGTACCTTTATAAGGAGAAAAGATCTGGTTTTCTTTATGGCAGAGAATCATTTTATGAACGACCAATATTGTTTATCTGGACAATAAAAAACTAACCAAGTGTAAGTGATATTGCTTATCCTACAAAATCCTATTTTGGGCAGCACACACTTACTTCATTGAAAACTCTTTTGGCTCTGGATCTATAGCACAAGACCACCTTGCAGGGAGGGGTGTTGAGGATAAAGTCTAAATGCTGGCCTCCTGCCCTATACCCAGCCATAAGCACCCCCCCCCCTTTTTTTTTTACTTCCTCAAACCTGCCATGGCTATGTGATAAAATATTAGTGGTCACATGGATGAGATATTTAAAATTTGGCAGGACCTAGTAACTATCCTTGAGAGTTAAAGGAAGAGTTGCTAGGAGGAGTTCCAGGATTCTGGGTTATACAGCTGGATAGATAATGTTTCCAATTTATTCAGGAAGGAAATATAGGAAGGATATGTTTTGCAGTTAGAAGATGATGAAATCTGCTTTGAGCATTTAAGTTGAGGTTATTTATGGGATCATCCAATGGGAAACTTCACAGGCATTTGGATATATAGGTCTGAAGCCCAGAATGAAAAACCTAGTTGGAAACAATTATTGAGAGCCCAGTGGACACTAGTGGCTGGCAACAGAGATGGCCTCTGTCTCCAGGAAGTTCCTGGTCTTAGGGATACAGAGTCCAAGTGGAAAAAGATGTGCTCAGTGGTGGTGTCACTTGGAACCATAGAAGTATCATGGAAAGAAAACACTGGCACATATTTTAACCATTAGATAGAAGAGATCACCCTGAGAAGTATATAGAGTAGAAAGAATGATACTAGGATCCTGGGGATCCTAAAAAATATTAGCATGTAAATGTTGAGTACAAGAGGAGCAGCATCACGAGATACTCCATCTCATATGTCAGAGAGGGAATAGAAAAACCAACAGAGTGTGGAAACATGGAAGCCAATGGAAGAGACTTATGAAATGCTTTTATTAATGCATTATAGTTAGACATAATAGCTGGGTTCATTTTGACAAAATCATACGTGCATGGAACTTAATTTGCTCCATTTTTTCATGTATTTGTTGACCAATTATATTTCTTCTTTTGAGAAATGTCTGTTTAGTTATTTTTCTCATTTATTGATTGGGTTGTTTATTTAAAATATTTAAAAAATTTCTGTTGTTGTAGATGGACACAATACTTTATTTATTTATGTGGTGCTGAGGATCAAACCCAGTGCCCCATGCATGTGAGGCAAGCACTCTACCACTGAGCCACAATCCCAGCCCCAGGGTTATTTATTTTTTGGTATTAAACTTCTAAAAGTTTATTCTGATCATTAATCCCCTGGCAGAGGAGTATCTGGCAAAGATTTTCTCCCGTTCATGTAATTGAAAGTGAGATAAGAATGGGGAGGGGACCTACAGATTTTATTATATGCAGGTGGTTATTAACCTTGGAGAAAGATATTTGGTGATGGGTGGAATGGAGGCCATTTGAAGTGGGTTGAAGAATGACGGAAGAGTCATGAAGTATGAGGATCAAGTGGATGACTTTCTTCAGAAGTTGGCCTTGAGACGGGGTGAGAGAGAGAAAGGCCCATCGATTCCAGTTTGTATAAATAAGTTCTTTTGCTCCAGCCTTGTTTAGAAGACAAGCAGGGACATAAAGCAGACAGTCAGATTGGGCCAGGATTGGATTTTTCTAGGTGACTATGATGGAAGGACAATGGGACATGAGAGTAGAGGTTTGGGGCAAAAGGAGTTAGAGTGACGGGCTGCATACTTGAGAGTGTGGCAAGAACAGGAGTGTGAGGCCTACAGGGGGCTGATGGAGAGCCAACAGCTCCTAGTGCTGGGTGTCAAGTGTGTTCCTCGAGAAAAGTTGCGTGCATAGTTATTCCACTAGACAGGATTGGGATTTCCTGGTTTTAACAATGAGTATGTACATATACATATGCATGTTTGTGTACATACATATACATACACATCTCAGTGGCAGCCCTGGCCATTTTCTCATAAGCTATTTGTTGCAGATGTCTTGCAGGCTTGAGGGAACTGTGCAATACCACTAATATTTGTGTTCATCTACCACATCAGAAGAAAATGGAGGTAATAACTCCATTGTTCTGACATTATTATGTCCTTTCTTAGCTTTACTTGTTTTGTTCAAATTAGCCAGAATCTGTCTTATGCTCATTTAAATACATAGTTTGATTAGGCATAAGGCAAGAAGACTGGTTTTCAGATGTCAGGTTTTGATGAGGGGAACTTACAAGGAAGTGCATTCATCTGAATATGGAGGCAGCAGCTTATAGAGAATGGAGAAAGCAGGTAACTTGAAGTTCAAGAGTCCTCATTTGAATCTCAGACCTGCTTAGCTAAGTAGTATCACCTTCATCATTTTAAATCATTGCTTCTCACATGAAAAGAGTTAAAAATAATACTGTTTGTCCTATAGAATTATTAGGGAAATTGAGATATGTATGTGAAAAAAAACTTAGTAATTATGCACATAGTCTGTGTTCTGCACATACTGTGAGCTATTCTGAATCTTACTCCTATCTATCCATTCCTTGTTCTGTTCAACACAGTAACTGAAAGCCAGCAGAAACTAGTGACTTGGGACCCAGAGCCAGCCTCTCCCTTCAGGGAACTCAGAATTTTTAAGAGGATATGGAACCAATAGAAAGGAATTGACTCAATAGATTCACTTGGATGCCACAGAAGTGTTAAGGAAAGACATCTAGACTAGTCTGGGAGGCAAGAGAGGCTTTCTAGAGTAGTTGGCACCTGAGATGGGTCCAAATGGATGATAGGAATCAGTCAAGCAAAGAAGAAGTTTGGAGGAAGGTGAGAGTTTGAGAGTACGGAGCATGTGTGGCTGGATCCAGTTGAGTATGAGAATATAATACTTTCAGAAGCTGAACCATGAAGTTACAGTGAGAGAGAAGTGATAGCTAGAGGGGAACATCCATATAATTGAAGTGCTTGAGAATGTTTTAAATGATTATGGGGGAAAAGCCACAGAGGAGAAGTTGATGAGGGTGTTGATTGACGGAGCAATGAGAGGAGGGTTGGCAACAAGCACAGGTGGGCAGGACTGGTGGGAGGGGAGCCTCTTCCAGGGGTTTGGTGAGGAAAGAGGCCAATACACAGGAGGAATGTTGATATTGAGAGTTTCTCCCCTAAAGCTCTTCTTCTTTTCACAATGAAGTAAGATGCATGAGGCCCTTTGTAGTCCCATTGACTAGTATTGTTGCTCAGTACTTACTGAGTGCTCAACAAATACCTATTAGTGAATTACTGTCATTGTGAGGGGCTGTTTGAGGGGTCCCATGAAGCAGCCTGGCTGGAAAGCAAGATGGCGCATCAGTCGCCTTCCAAAGACTTCCTCCAGTTCTTTGAAGTTTGGCAGCTGTATTTCAGTCTGCCTGTCTTGTTCATATTGATGCAACCCATGTCCTTCAAACCCTCATGGATGCTGCAGGAGTTGGGTGCCCTGAGAATAGCTCTGACCCAGGTGCCATGCATGGGAGTTGAGTTTTTGAGCAAGGACTGAACTAATTCTTTCCCAGTGAGCAGCCTGTTCACACCCACTGAGCAGAGTCTGGCAGCAGCTCAGATAAAAGCAGTTTATCCTGCCTGTCTGGTTGTCCTTCTTACACATTGTGGTCGTGGTTCAAAGCTGCATTATATGAAAGGAATCCACCCTGAAACAGACATGTGTGGGCTAGCAGGCTGCAAGGAGTCCTGTGATCTATCTAGTCTTATTTGTATTCTCTGGGTGATTCTGAGCCTGTCTTCTCAGTGAAGTGAAGGGAGCTGGGCCAGGTGAGTGCCCAGTGCATCATATATGCTGGGAGTTACTGACCAAGTGTCACATCATTGGTTTCCTCGGTCTAGAGATGGTCTCAGTTCTCACCAATGCATGCTCCACAGTCCACTGAGAGGGTAATTCACCCTCTTCACTTACTTCATTTCTACTTAACAAACACTAAGGACATAAAGGCAGATCAGACTTGATTTCTTTCAGAGATGGCAAGGACCTTAAAGGCTCTGGAGTGTAGGGTGAGAAGAATTAGAAGATATATCCAGGCTCAGAGAAGAAAATGGGCCACGATCACTCAGTGATGTCTGCCGTGGGGATGTAACTGGGGAGTCTATACACAAATTCAACTTATTGTCACTCCATGTTCCCCAGAAACTCACAACTCAGTAAGAGTGAAAGAGCCATGAACAGGTAACTTTAGTTTGGCAAAATATGTTGGATTTGTGTGATGGAGACTGAAGCAATGGCAGATGTGCTAAGTTTTTTCCCCACGGTTTATTTGGCATTGAGCAAACATATTTGCTATTACCAGGTTTATTTCTGTTTTGTTTGACTAGACTATCAGTGCTTAATGATTGACATTTCTTTTCCACTAATGATTCTAATAGTTAACAGTTATATTTATAATATTGACTATGTGTTGAGATCTTACTTTGTGTCAGGTACTGGGTTAAGTACTTTGTATGCAATATTCCACCATCCTCTTAGGTAGGATTATCCTCAGATGAAAGAACTGGGACTCAGGTTAAGTAACATACATAAAATAAAAGGCTACTGGCTTAAAGGTTAGTAAGTGGCAGAATCAGGATTAAGAGTCTGTACTCTTAACTCAGGTGAGCAT